GGCCCCCTGCCGGCGGGGACTCCGGTTGTCTCTCCCCCGGGTCAGTGACGGCCCGTCACAAGGGGGAAACGGGGCACCACGGTCCTCTGGCCACATTGGGGCCCCTATGATACAGGGCGTGCTGTGCAGGCCACACATGGCCTTGCACCTGGGACATCCCCCTCCTGTGGGTCGTGGTCTGGTGTGGACTGTGTGCATGGATGACCCATGGTTTCACCCTCTTGTGTGTTCTCCTCAGCCGGAGCAGCCAGCCCGTCACAAGGGGGAAACGGGGCACCACGGTCCTCTGGCCACATTGGGGCCCCTATGATACAGGGCGTGCTGTGCAGGCCACACATGGCCTTGCACCTGGGACATCCCCCTCCTGTGGGTCGTGGTCTGGTGTGGACTGTGTGCATGGATGACCCATGGTTTCACCCTCTTGTGTGTTCTCCTCAGCCGGAGCAGCCAGGACAGAGGGCCAAGCCACACCACTGCTGCCACCTGCCAGAGTCCAGGGGGCCCACAGACAAGCCAGGGTGCTGTAGGACCTCATGCGGCAACACATCGGTGTCCTGCGCAACATCCATGACCCCCTGTTGCGCAGGCTCAATTCAGACCTGGAATGATGGGAGCATGCACAGACCGAATTGATGGCATGGTGTGATACCACGTGCAGCATCAAGTCCTGCATGGGGGAACATGTGCATGATGCCGCTGCTCCTGCCTTCCACCCTCCTATCCCCCCAATGACCATTGCCCATCTGTCTTCCCACCCTGCTATGCCTCTGCTCCCTCTTTTATCAATGCCCATACCCACTCCCCAAGTGACGCCTATGGTCCCTCTTCCTTCCCCCCCCTGCCAAACCTGACCCTGCTCTAGCTACCCCTCCTGCCTACCCCTTTCTGGTCCCCAGGCCCTCCCAACTCCAAAGAGGTCCCCACACCTGAGGTGGCATAGCAAGCCACCCCACTACTCCTCCCAGTCCTGATCCCCCCTCCCAGTCTAGCCATCCCCCTTCCAGTTCAAACATCCCCTCTCCCCTGCCCACCTTCTCCTCCTGTTCAATAAAGAGGCACTCTTTTTTTTCAAATCAAAATGGTGTGTTTATTGGGAGGTCAGGGAAGGGTCAAGGGGAGCGGATGAGAGGGGGGAAGGAAGGAAGAGAGCAGAAAGGCAGAAGCCCCTGTTGGGGAGACCCTAGGGAGAGTTATTGGGGGGTCTGAGAGAACCTCTCCCTTGGCCTCCTGGATGCACACCCCCAACTGATGGGCCTGGCAGGTAGCAGCTGTCTGGGGCTGCTCAAATGCATGGCCCTCGCGGTTGGCTTCTGCCCCCCACCCCGGAAGGAAGGCCTCCCTCTTGCGCTCCACAAGATTGTGGAGTACACAGCATACCGCCACCACCTCGGGGATATTGTGCTCCCTAACATCCAGGCGGGTGAGGAGGCAGTGGAAGCATCCCTTGAGGCGCCCAAAGGCACTCTCCACCTGCATCCTCGCTCGGTTGAGGCGGGCATTGAAAAGGTCCTTGCTGGGATCCAGGTGGCCGGTGTATAGCTTCATCAGCCAGGACCTGAGTGGGTATGCTGCATCCCCCACTATGCACTCTGGCATGTTCTGGTCACCCACGGCAAAGTCCCGGCAGGGGAAAAAGGTTCCCACCTCCAGCTTGGCACACAGGCTGGAGTTCCTACAAACTCGGGCATCATGTGCCCTGCTCGACCAACCCACATAAATGTTTGTAAAGTGGCCCTGGTGGTCCACCAGGGCCTGCAGAACTACAGAAAAGTAGCTCTTTCTGTTTATAAACTGGGCCATTTGATGGTCCAGGACCCGATGGGGATGTGCGTGCCATCAATAGCTCCCTTGCAGTTGGGGAACCCCAGGGCAGCAAATCCGGCCACGGTTGCATCCAGGTCCTCGAGACTGCCAACTCTGCACAGCAGCAGGGAGTTGATGGCCCTGATGACCTGCAGAAGGAGACAAAGAAACACACAGAACAGAAAATGAGAGAGAGGTTACGTGAGCCTTTGGGAAGTGCCTGTCCTCCTCCCCTCCTCTGCTCCCTCCCCCGCAACTCCCTAGGAGCCACCCCCTATGAGTTCCCCCAGCAGCAGGGCTGTGTGAGGGCGGGATGGCACAAGCTCCTGGGGCCAGCTCCCCCCTCCTGAGGGTCCCCCTTATCCAACACCCTCTCCCACCCCCCGTGCAGGGACTACAGCCTTTGAGCGCCTTACCTGCATAAACAGGGCCCCAACGGTGGACTTCCCCACCCCAAACTGGTTGGCCACCGACTGGTAGCTGTCTGGAGTGGCCAGGTTCCAGATGGTGATTGCGACCCACTTCTGCAGGGGGATAGCAGACCGCAGGTGGATGTTGCATCTCTGGAGGGCGGGTATGAGCCAGGCACAGAGCTCAAGGAAGGTGGCCTTGTGCATTCTAAAGTTCTGCAGCCACTGCTGGTCCCACCAGTCTGAACTGGTCTCTAGCCTCCAGAACTTTCTGTGTATGGTTGGGTGCGGCAGGGCGGGGGGGGCAGAGGGTGATGAGGAAGAGTTCTGAGTCCACATCCAGCATGAACATGTAGGCAGCTGGAAGAAAATGCTGCAGGAATTGCAGCATGGCCATGTGGGACTGTCGCCTGCCCAGGGGCAGCTCCGGCTCCATAGCACACAACAGGAAAAAGCTGTGGCATCCCAAAAATGAACAGGGCAACCACAGCAGGCACTGTTGATGCTTTTCTGTCCCTCTACAGAGTCTGCAAGCGGGCAGCAGAAACAGAGAAACGGCTGTCCAGGGGGGTCCCGTTAAGCATGTATCTCTGCAGGGCTCTAGCAACAGCACTCGAGAGCAATTGGTGACCTAAAAGTCCGGCTAGAACTGGTTCCGGGTGGTTTTATATGCGAGAGAGCATCCAATGAGTGTGATTGCTTTTGCGATGAACTTTTGTAGTGTGGATGCGCTCTTGCACAAGTTTTTGCAGAGGAGCTCTTCCACAAAAAGCTTCTTGCACAAGAAGCCTGCAGTATAGACATAGCCTGAGCCCAAAGATCTCTCTCTAGGTTTTTTCCAAGATCAGCCGCCATTTCAGTTTTCTGTGTGTTCTTCTCTGCTCCCACCCATTCAGTTCCCCAGTTTATCCCAGCACAGTTTCTGAGAAGACTCTGTTAGTCTCTGTTTTAGGTGTGGCCCCTTAACTAACTTTTATAACTTATTTAAATGGGGGACTCAGTCACACATCAATTTGGAGTTGGTTTAAACTCAATCCATAACAAGCTTTCATCCAGCTCATAAAAATGTTCTTTCCCCTTTGAGCCAGTCCCATTTAGGAGAGTGGGATGTAACTCTTATTTTCAGTTTCCTCTGAGAAAGATCCTCCCTTCTTGGTAGATTCTGTGTTATTCCAAAGTAGTTACTTCCATTGAAAATCCCTCTGCCAACCCTAAAAAAGGTCTCATCTTGTATCCCCCCCTTATCCTACAATTTAAGGCCTGATTTCCCTGGGCCAGATCACATACGCCTCATCCACAACTGGCCCTAGTTATAACTAACTGCTCTGTAATAGTGTGGACAAAGATAAATTGAGCATCCCACTTCTCATTTGGATATCATGCAGTTTAGCATAGGTTACTAATTTCTTTTTTAAACCATTATACCACTAGTAGGTTTTCATCCAATTGTATGTACACAGGGAACCTGATACAGAAGACCTAACTCGTTCCAGTTTGTGTGCTCTATGGTTATGAATCTTTTGCATCTTTTGATCACGCCTATTATTTTGAAATATTACAGGCTCGCTATTCCAATGTCCCTGTAAACCTCATTCCACGAGGAGTAAAGGACATTTCAAAATAGCAGTTTATTTTGAAATAAGTGCTGTGTAGACAACGCCAAATTTTGAAATAAGCTATTTCGAAATAACATCGAAATAAGATACGCAATTTGCGTAGCTCAAATTGCGTATCTTATTTCGATCTACAGTGCAGTGTAGCACCCATAGAGATAAACAAGCACACTCATTCTTTCTAGGATCTACAAGCATGGTGAAGAGGCTTAGAAGTAGGCTGTCAGCTGCCCTTCTGGGCAAGGCCTATATTTTATTTTGACTATTGTCCAGTGCCAAGCAAATCATCAGTACAAATTGAACAATATACAGACCGATAAAGACCTATGACTTTATATATTAGACTCCTACAAGGTAGACATTGGAGAGGAAGCAATCCTTTCCCTGCATAGAGACCAGAATTTTGCTGCCACTAATACCCTTAATACCAGAGCGACTCAACTTTGGAAGCCCCAAGAGCCACAATGATACTCACAGCAAATGCCGAGGGCCACAACTTAAGTGTGATTGCATATACATGCAGATATATGCAAATAGCTTATTCCACATTGATGGGCATGAATACAAAGATTAACCCTTGACGCCGGACCCAAACATGGCCAGTGTGAGCCAGTCAGCACCTCTTCGGCTCTGCCCTCAAGGCTAAGCAGCCAGCACTTTCCACAATGCCCCAGCACTCCTGGCACCTCCTTCCTGAGGGCTAGAAACGCTGATACCCTGTACCTGTCTGTTCCAGCCAGCCCGTCCACTTGCATCTTTCAATGCTCACCCTGCCTGGGAGATGCCTCACCGTTGTGGAGTGTGTTCCCAGTGGAGGCCATGTTTAAAGGATCCCACCCATAGGCTGCATGTTGAGCCCCACGTAAACCCAAACCACACTGTGTGCCACAAACAAACGGGCCGCAGGCCGCATGCAGTCCATGGACCGCGTGTTGAGTACCTCTGCTCAATACTATACTTTCAATCCATTGTGACTATTCTCTTGCTAGGAACTATGAACTTGTGAGCAAAGGACATTTTATTATTTCCAAGGTGCAGATCACAAACATAAATAGATGGTGCAAAGATGATTTCTACCGCATAGCAATCAAGGTATTGTCATTTTCAAGGGCAAAGCATGAATGATGAAGTAAGTAGAACCAAAAGTTGTGAGGAAAAGTATTGTATAACAATGCATAAATTCACTGGGATATTTTGTGTCTACCGTATATTCCGGCGTACAAGACGACCTCTGATGTTAAAAAACATCCCCCAAAAATCGGGGGTCGTCTTGTACGCCGGATGC